GTTGTGGCAACACTTTAGGGTGAACGCACTCTGTTCCGAACCGTACGCACAGCACCCTGAGTGGCATAGAATTTCATACAAAATTTCTAAATATGACGCGTACGGAACGGTTAAATGAGCTATCACCTCAAATTTGCCTCAAATGACAAACTCGTTCAAAAACATTCAAAAATGACAGGCTTGTCTTGTATGAAATTTTGACAAAAGGCGTGTCTAGTAGCGCTGCGCGAAAAAGGTTTCATTTGTCTGTGTTCAAAATAGATGTTAATTTCCTTTTTAGTGATGACATTTAGGGCTTGTAACATTTCGAAAACAGACGTTCGCTTTTTTCTGTGATGGATGCAAGTTTGACGTCTTCTTCTGTGAAGGGGGCAAGCCCCCCTCAACCCCCCGATAATGACACTTAGTGCTTTTAAGAATCCTACAATAGACGTTTGGCGTCTTCGTCTGTGAGGGGGGCAAGCCCCCCTCAACACCCGGTAATGACACTTAGTGCTTTTAAGAATCCTACAACAGACGTTTGGCGTCTTCGTCTGTGAGGGGGGCAAGCCCCCCTCAACCCCCCGGTAATGACACTTAGTGCTTGTAAGAATCCTGCAACAGAAGTTTGACGTCTTCTTCTGTGAGGGGGGCAAGCCCCCGTCAACCCCCCGGTAATGACACTTAGTGCTTGTAAGAATCCTACAACAGACGTTTGGCGTCTGTCTGAGGCAAGCCCCCTCAACCCCCCGGTAATGACACTTAGTGCTTGTAAGAATCTTGCAACAGAAGTTTGACGTCTTCTTCTGTGAGGCAAGCCCCTCAACCCCGGTAATGACACTTAGTGCTTTTAAGAATCCTACAACAGACGTTTGGCGTCTTCGTCTGTGAGGGGGGCAAGCCCCCCACAACCCCCCGGTAATGACACTTAGTGCTTGTAAGAATCCTGCAACAGAAGTTTGACGTCTTCTTCTGTGAGGGGGGCAAGCCCTCCTCAACCCCCCGGTAATGACACTTAGTGCTTTTAAGAATCCTACAACAGACGTTTGGCGTCTTCGTCTGTGAGGGGGGCAAGCCCCCTCAACCCCCCGGTAATGACACTTAGTGCTTGTAAGAATCCTGCAACAGAAGTTTGACGTCTTCTTCTGTGAGGGGGGCAAGCCACCCTCAACCCCCCGGTAATGACACTTAGTGCTTGTAAGAATCCTGCAACAGAAGTTGGACGTCTTCTTCTGTGAGGGGGGCAAGCCCCCCTCAACCCCCGGGTAATGACACTTAGTGCTTGTAAGAATCTTGCAACAGAAGTTTGACGTCTTCTTCTGTGAGGGGGGCAAGCCCCCCTCAACCCTCCGGTAATGACACTTAGTGCTTGTAAGAATCCTACAACAGACGTTTGGCGTCTTCGTCTGTGACGGGCAAGCCCCCCTCAACCCCCCGGTAATGACACTTGGTGCTTGTAAAAATTCTGCAAAAGACATTTGACGTCTTCTTCTGAGGGGGTAAGCCAAGCAATTACTCTCGATGATGAAATTTTTACAATATTACGGATTATTAATTACATTAGTTTGTAAAGTCTCTTTTCCTACATTGGCAATAATAGGTTAACTGTGAAGAAAGCTAGGCTAAGCAGTCCTCGAGCAAAGCGAGCAAAATTGAGTAGACCTCGTCTAAGCTGAAATGACGCCCCACTACCTAACTTACTTACCGCTTGTGTGCGTTAATGCGATGGTGGGGCGCGTCATTTCAGCTTAGACGAGCTATACGGGTTTTAAATAAATTTTCTACATACCTATTTAAGCAACAAACTCATTCACCCAGGATAAAGCACAGGTACAGGTACTCATAGGTCCATACAGAAGTATTACATGTAACTTTTGTGTACGAGTACCTATTACTAACTTAGTAAATACATGTTATACTTACGCGCAGGTTTTAAGTAATAGATCTTTTATCTACCTATTCCTAAAGTTAAATAAATACAAGTACGGTCATTCAAGTCATATTTTAAAATAGTAAGGACCTCCATAATGTCATGCATGACTTGAAAGATATGACAACTCCGAGTCAAATTAGCACAAACACGGGGATATAGTGCGTAGTGTGATTCCTAATCTACCTTCCGTCTCCATCATCAGATCTTCATGAAATATGGCTAAAAACCATCCTGACCATATTAGATTTTATTTAAACAAAACCGCATTTAAATCGGTTCAGTCGTTTCGGAGATACGTTGCCTCAAAGAATCGTAGACACACGGACATACAGACGCGTGAAACTTATAACACCCCTCCGGTTGGTTCGTCGGGGGTTAAAAACAACAAAATCTGATGCAAGAACGTCATATTATTTTAAACGAATTTTAATCCAAGCAATATGACGTGCATGGCAACCATCTTCTTAGGTATTATTTTCCTGAGATTACAGTTATTTCGAGTTAAAGTCAGTACGTGTGAAAATCGTCGCTAGTTCTGAGGCATCAGTAAACGCGCCCCGCACGCCGTTTCCTTAATTTGTGGTTATGATGTAATGATGACACTTATGAAATACTCACATTAATAAATATTTCATCATTCATCATAATTCATCCATATTTTAGCTTAGTTCAGTTTTCATGCAATGATAGAGGTATATTATTCTCTGAAATGCACCGCTATTTTTACTTCAAAATCTCTAAACTTAAGCTTTAAAACTAATTGCTTGGCTAAGAGCAGTTCAGTAATATTAAGACCGGCACTCGAGACGAGTGAAATAAGTAGATTATCCTTTTTTAACTAACCAAGTAGCGCAGAACTTGAAATTTTATCTTATTTATGTCTGTTATATTATAATTATGTGTAGGTAAGCTTGCTAAATCTACGGATTTTTCAGCGAATAAAACAAATACTAGACAAGACCGTGTTCATCAAGAATACCTATTTAAATATCTATCTAAGTAACCTCTACGAATTAAAAGATAATATTTTCTAATGGCTTTTAAATCAAAGTCTGGTAAAGCAGATATTTCTAGATTCTCTGAGGGATTCGGCATTTCAATAAGAAATATAAAAATCCTGTGAACCTTATAGGCGCAAACTCCGCAGATTAGACGTGAGACGTATGAAGGCATCTATCAGACAAGTGATTTTCAGAGACGTGAAACGTGCGACATAGCGACGCTTGAAACCGTTTCCATATAATGTGTATGAAACAGAAGGGACAAAGTTACACACGTGAGACGCGCGTCGCATTGATCGACTGACGATCGCTTGTCTGACAGATGTCACGCGCCAATTCTGTGGAGCTTGCGCCTTACACAAAGAAGTAAATCGACACGTTCCTAGAACCGTATGAAGGGGCAAATTAACAATGTCCTTGCTGGAGGGAATTACACGGAATTGGGTCGGTCAGAAGCCTTCGTTTCTATTTCCGATGAGATCGATCGACGCCGACCTATTGCACTAAATACAAACTAGTCAGTAGCTGTGGCCAGCCAGCCTAAAAATAATAAAACGCTGTTGGCTTGGTGCTCATCAAACATGCATAAGACGTCGGCACGCGAAGAGTTTGAAGGACACTGGGATGATAGTGAGCGCAAAGGTAAAACGTACCGCTATGGGACGTAGGATTTCAATGTAAAATGTAAATTTAAGCTAAAACAATGAGTGCTGAAGTACCGATGACGAAAGGTCCTGGTTGTTTCACCTTCATTTCGGATTATCATGAAAAGATTAGCGTTCATAGTCCATCTGGACTATACCTATCCTAAAAGTTTGTCGTGTGGACACCTCCATTCCTGATCATCCGAAATGAGGGTGTAATCCGGACATTTCGCCATCGGCACTTCGGCACTCATCGCTTCAGCTTAAATGCTGACTAAGTGAAAGGATTACCTACCTAATGGGTTCAAGTAGCTTACCGTAGAGGACAAAATACAGGAGAGTTGTCTCAAGATATTCGTGAGACTGATACGTCGCAAATTAGCATTCATAGTTCATCTGGACTATGGATAGGTAGGTATAGTCCTGATGAACTGTACTGTTTCATGCGTGCAATAAATACTTCATAGAGATTAGTGTAATATAGAATGACGGAGACGTAAAGGACGTGTTGCCATATTTAATTAAATGAAGATAACTTGAAATTATATGAGACGGGACCTCTATACTGGGTGTTACAAAACAACCAATAAAGCTGAAAGGAGGTCAAGGTACTCATGAGACTGAACAACTTTCCCCATGGAACATGGGCCGAAATATGAAAAAAAAATAGGACTTCCCATACAAAATGAACTCAATTTGTATGGGAGATTTATTGGTTGTTTTGTAACACGTTGTATACATAGCTCATGCAAATTAAAACTTCGTCTATTATTGCAATATGACCGTAGATTATGACGCCTCTAACTCGTTTCAATTTAAGGTCAAACCGTATGAACCAATAACCTTCAGATCAAGATCGTTATCATCATCAGACAGAATAAATAGTCTGGAAATTAAATGCCCTCACAAAAAAGGTGTTTGAACTTAAAAATCATAGAGAAAGACATCAATCGATGTCAGGTGAAACTGCAATTTACAATCAAGTTTCCATTCAATACCAGTAATATTCACAAAGGTCACGATCAAACATCATTGACCGTGCAATCGAAGTAAAGTAAAGACAAGCAAATTTTGTTTCTTTAGTCATGCTGTCGCACCATTCCTAAAGAGATTTGGGCTTAACACGCTGTCGTAGCTATGCATTTGACAAGAAGATCCGTTCCGAAACATTTTCTTGTATTTATAGGTCCGAATCTTTATTATTTATTGAATGATTGAATAAGTGAAAATAAGAAATAGAAAAAATATCATACATCGACCGGGAATCGAACCCGGGTCGCATGGAAAAACGCCCCACCGCTCTGCCACTGAGCTATCGATACACTGGTTGATGAATGCCAAATTGTCTATCTCTTGATGCTCGTCTCCAAGCGACGATCCAGCAACATCTGTAGAAAGTATTTAGAACTTACTACATGGAAAATTTGGTATTCATCAACTGGTGCATCGATAGCTCAGTAGCAGAGCGGTGGGGCGTTTACCCATGCGGCCCGGGTTCGATTCCCCGGTCGATGTATGACTTTTTTTTCTATTTCTTATTTTCACTTGTGAGAATAATATAGCACTGTGAGTGCTTTACAATCCCAATAGATTTATTGAATACTTATCAAATTTTAAAATTCTCTCCGTGTTAGGATTCAAATTTTTGGAAAATTAATCGCTGGGAGTGAATTGCAAAACCATACCGGTAGATGGAGCCCTGTCACGCGCTAGTAGCCAAGATACACTTGCACTACCTATTTCGCAGGCTGGTTCAGCAACGGTAGCCTAGATGGTAGAGGCGTCGACGGTACAGATGCCGAAAGTTATTCAAATCCTGCCTACGGTGGAAAATAATGCAAATTGTCAAAAATTTATTATTAATTGTTCAGATAAACCTACACAACACCGACACTTTACTTACAATACTGTTTCTCTTTAATGTAACCCACGAATACTGAAATCATTTCAGACACAGAAGATTTCAAGCGGAACATTTCGCAGCCAATAATGCAACAGGTGTGGCTTGACACGCAACGAAAATTACACATCAAATATAGTGTGGTATTTATCATTACGATATCAAGAGGTCATGAGGTGAAGATAAGGTTAAAATGATGTAGAGAGCGTGCTTTTATGAGGATGTATCGATGACATGCATGTAACTTAACCTTTGATGTAACAGTTGGTATCTGAATAATGGATGCACCTTTTACAACACAACATTCAAGATGCGACTGACGATTTGAATTTACATTTCATGCAATGCTATCCCCTACGGGATGAAGTTGATACCTGCGTTCTGCAAACTTGTTCAGGTTTATCCTTAGCAAAACTACAAACTTACAAACAGTAATTTGTATGCGTTACTATTACTAAGGTCAAGACTAAAATTATTTAATATTTAAGGTAACTTGTCTTTGAAGGGTTATTCCGAGGTCGGTCGAACCTTAGTCTTAGCTGCTTAATGAAACCCAGCCAGTCCTGACAGACTTTGATATCTCCCATAGGGTAGATCAAAGACGGTTTAAATTACGAAATTATAAAGGTAATTAATATTACGTAGTCCATAACATGCCGTGTGTTGTCGGCTTATAAATAGCATCACCCCGATTCTGACCGTGGGTGTCATAAAAACCGACTAAAGGGATATTCATCCAGGGAATGGGCAACAGCATTCCCTGTGAATGGAACATTTTGCACCGCGCTCGCCAATCGCCTGCCAAGCGTGGTGAGTATGTCACCCGACCTCCCAAAAAGGATAGGCCCATGTCCAGCTGTGGGCTGTTGTAGCTGGAGAAGTAGTCCATAATAAAGAAGAGGGTAACAACCACAAAATAACGGAGCAATATTTTAAAGCTCATTATCGTTAAGTGCAGGATCATCATCTGCCTACCTTTATCCCAAGTTTCGGCCAACGGCGCAACAAGTTTATTTTCTTCCATTCTTTTAATCAGTTCATAATAAAATCTTTATTTACACTTCTTTTTTGTGCGAATTGTCTTTTGACCATGTTTAAAGTTTATTTAATGTGTGTTTTACCGCCTGCCAAGCGTGGTAAGTAATGCAAATACCCCTACTTGGGAGAGGCCCATATTCAGCAGTGGACTTTATTGTGGTTGTTATGATGATGATGATGATATCTACTAATTTTATCTACTAAAATAAATACAGAATATGATTCACTGAATATCGTTTCGCGTTTCCGCGACGTTTTGAAGCAGTCGGTGCTTCTTTGACAGGCGGAATTCTGAGCACTTACTACTTGTGTACTTTTCATCTTTTCCGGGGCAGAAATACAAATTGCATCTTTGCATCTACACAGGGAAGAAAGGTGTATCTTTCCCAAATTGCGTCCGTGCATCTAAAAAGGGTAGCTAGGTATCTACTAGGATCTTGTCTTGTTTGAAATTACATCTATTCTTGGATATTGTGAATTACATTACGCAACCGGTTATTTGTCGTTTACAAAACTAGCAACACTATCTCACAGTTACACAGCTGGCAGTAACTATCACACAGTTTTTTTTCCTTTGATCTGACTGTATATTTCACGCCTAGATTCCGCCATTGTGTTTTTGAAGCTTGGCATGTTATTGAGATAGATGATATCAACGAGACAACGTTTTTACTTTTGTGACTCAGATTTCGGTTTCCAAGAATGTTTTTATTGCGATATAATACTGTCTTTGTAAAAGGGAATATGGGAACGTCGTTTTGAAAAAATGTGTTATAATAAGACCAACCAAGCGATAAAATTTATATTGAACGAAAACGAAATAATCATCTTGACAAATGTAAAAAATACATTGGTAATTGGCATTTAATTGTACCAAGGTGTAATTATTAAAATTCTTCTTTTCAATCACTCAGTCAGCCATGTAAACAAGAAAAATCAATTTTTGAAATCCAGTTGTTTTAGCTCTTGGAATGCTAACATTGCTTGCGGCTTATTTAGTTTCAATAGTGTTTACTGTGAGCTGAGTTCGACTGTACTATCTGTAGCAAATCCACCTACCGATTTAAGGGATCAATTTATACTAGTTTATCTTAGTACTTGTATGAACACCCAGTATAAGTTCGTCCCATAAACGGGTAGGTGGATTTAGTGGCAATAGTACCTACTAATTAGTAGGACGTGTTGGTCGGCAAATGGATTGTGACCGGATAGACAACGGGATGATGGTATACGCCCCTGGGATAAATTCATTTGCTCCATTAATTGATTATGACGTTTTCTATTTAAAAAATTATGCGTTAGTGTTTTGTATTATGATATTTTGTAGTCTGAAATTGTAGCAAGCTGAAGTGGTAGTGGGCTGTTCACATTTGTCTTAGAAACGATGGACGGTGGAGTAAGCGGGTTCTCGAGTGAGGCCACGTCTTGGCAAGCGTAGTTATACGCCCTCAGGCCAGAAGGAACGACGATTTAAAAGAGAGCGGTGGAAAGTGAGATCTTGCCTTGTGGCGTACCCTTTGGGAGGCCTGTGTCCAGTAGTAGACTGCTATGGGCTGATGTGATGATGTGATAGGCTGATATGATGATTTTTCCGGGCCAAAAATCAAAGTCTATGGAGGCGCCTCAAGTGCCATGGGAGCTATACCTACTGTAGATGTGTTTCTCGGACACGAACTCTTTATTTCCTTGGCCGCAAATAGTGGGATGGGACTCAAAAATCTCTGAAACCAGTGCTTCAAAAACTGAGTCTCTTGTACTCTGATGGTTAAAATTAAGGAAACTTTGATGCCTGGTATTCAATTTAAAAAAACTAGATATTAAATATGCCATGGAATTAAGGAAATTCCACGGTCTGAGAAGAATGATCCCTGTTTGACAGTAGGTATCCTCCCACGGTTGTTTTTAATGATGATGAATTGTAATCATCATTATTTTGTACAGGTACCTAATCCCTTTGACAGTTTTTCTACTCCGTGAGGGATAAATATACGAATTTATGTAGGTATATTGAAACGGCTCTATTTGCCAGACATATCGGTTCCAATTAGGTGGACATGTCCGTCGGTGTATTGATGACCCGTTGTCAGAATGGCACCCTCGGGGGCCATCAGGCTACGTGACATGTATGAAAGCCTTTGTGGAAATGTCTACGCCAGGAGCCTTGAAATATTAATTCAATTGACCTCATGTCACCACCTTTCGGATTTGGTCCAGTTAGATATTATACTGTAGTCTGTGACTCGCTGCAGTCGGGGACAAAACGTGGTGTAAAAAAATACTGCCCTTCCTAAAAAGCTGTCATTCCAAATGGGACATAAAGAACCTGAGTAGGTATATATGCCACAGGTTTGACTAGGCACAAAAATACGAGAAGAAAAGTTTCATAATCTTCATTTAAATTGGGACGATTCCCTAATACAACAGTTCAAAGGAGTTACATCTATAAAGGAGACAAAAAGTCTGCTTGTAAAACTCAATGGGAAGTCTCCTATTTAATAAAGTTAGATTTTGTCTTCAGATTTGCCGGTAGAAATTCGCCACTATACCTACATCTGTAGACTAGACAGTAGCTGCTGTTGCAATAAATATGTTTGATTTTAATATGGAGAAATTACTCATTAGCTTTTAAATGTAATAAGTAGATAAATTTGCGAGTGCATCAATTCACATAATTAAGCTTATTTTATATAAATTGCTCTGCAGCTCGTGTTCAAATTGATTGAATTTCAGTTTTTCGTTTGTATGGCGTGACAAAAGGCTTTATGCGTCGTTTTTTGGAGGCGAATTTTTAGAAATAAGTACCAAGAATTGTGAGCTCCAATTCTTTGTAAATACCTACTGGACACTCATTTTAATATTAAACTGCTTTCATCTCGCATTTCTTTATGAATTCCAAGGAAATGTTTGACTTTAATTATCTTAGCTTGTTTTATTTGCGGACTCGTTCGAAGCCCGATGAATTCAAGTAGATCAGTAGGGCATGCTCTAAGAGAATTTACAGATAATCGTATTATAATATCTTTTTTCGTTTGAAAAACCTTTGAAAATGTAGGTATGTGTGTTTGCTAAAATGTTCATACGTCGAGTGCGAATCGAAAATCAATTTACTTAGCATGTAATAATACCTTAGTAATATTATTATAATCTCTGGTAAATAAGCAAAATTGATACGAAAAAAAACTGATAAGAAGAAATAAAAACATAGAGTCTGGCTAGCGAGTCTTTGGACGTCAAATAATTCAAATATTTCAAATGGCAACATGTTAACACTGAAAAACTACAATAAAACAATTTTGATACTTACTATTTTTTTTGTTTTCTGCTCTTTAGTTTGTGTTTACCTTGCCTACCGGTATGTATGTATGATGTATCTACCGGGAGTAACAGAAAGGGTATAACAAGCCGAAAGGAGGTCAAGGTACTCATGAAACTGAACAACTTTCCCCATGAAACATGGGTCGATATATGAAAAAAATATTTGGACCTCCCATACAAAATCGCAGATCAGCTGATTGATTTACTCTGAGAGGTCCAATTTTTTTTTTCATTTTTCTTCTCATGTTCCATGGGGAAAGTTG